CCTCTTCCTCCTCATCCCCAGCATCGCTTCCCCCCATGGGGTCGTTGTCGGGCACGTCGCTGTCGGAGGAGCTCGCGGGCTGCAGGCGTGGGGACAAGGGGGGGGTTAGGGCCTGGAGGGGCTGCACATGGAGCAGGGAGAGGAGAGGGGCACAGGAGGGTGGCGAGCGATGGATGGCAGCATGGAGCAGAGGGTGCGAGCAGAGGTGTGTGGCACAGAACCCTTCAGCGTGGCTCTGGGCAGCACTAGGAGCCCTTCAAGGAGACCCTCAGCAAACCCCTCACACAGCACCCTGAGATCACCAGCAACTCCTTCCCTGCTGGGCCTGCACCCATTGCCAAAGACCCTGCGGAAACCTCATCCTGAAACCCCTGGGGGCAGGCAGAGCCCAGCCCTGCACAGCCCTCACGGTGCCTCCAGCGTTCCCCTCCGGTGGCCACCAGGCCTCTTCCTCCTCGGGTGGCTTCACCCCACGGCATTCGCACTTCACACACCTTCCCCACTGGAAAGGTCCCCGTGAGAAGTCCAGCATGGCAACCAACGCTCATCCCAGTTGGCATCTCCTGCGTCCTGTTCCCTCAATCCCATGTGTGAAAGGTCTCCTGGCTTCTCCCCAGCCCATCAGGAGGTTCCTCGCGCCAGGACATCGCATCCAAGCTCCCATCTTCCAGACTGATCCACTGTCCTCATGCACGGCAGGCCCGCTGTTCCCTAAGCCAGGATTCTTCCAGCACTGGAGCCTTCCAGCTTCCTTCTCCTTCACTGTTCCCGGCCCTTCGCTTCAGTTGGGTCCCAAACCCAGCAAAGAGCTCTCCTTCAGTCTCTTCTTCTGCTTCTCCAAGCAGTTTGGCCTCAAGATGCAGTTGGTGTTGGTGAGCCCTGGGGGGCCACTGCTGTCCCCATGGTCCCTTCACCACAGCAGGGCCCTCACCAGAGCAAGCGCTGCCAAGCGACCTCCCAGCAGCAAGGCTGGAGCTGCCCTCCAGCTCCTGGCACCTCCATGGCCTCACCTTCCCCTGCACCCGCAGCCTTGGGCCCGAGCATCTCCTGCACTCAAACCACGTCCTGCGGCAGCAGCACAGCCAAGGGGCTCGGCCCCAGGGCCCAGCTGCCTCCAGACCCCCCTGTCCTCGCAGCCCACCTGAACCTCCCTCTGCCTCCTCGCCCCGGCTGCCTGTGAGGCTGCTCTGGAGGCCGCCTCTGCAGAGGGCTACGCACGAGCCTGCACCACACAACCATGGGTATGAAATGCCCACACAAGCAATTGGCGGCCAAGAGCCATCTCCTGGCCTGCTCTGAAGCTCACCGAAGGAGCAGCCCAGCGGCTTTTGGCTCAGGACCTCAGGGATGGATGAAGAGCAGGGAGTGCCCGGCAGTTCGCACGCAGGAGCCTCGAGCTGAGCAAGCCTCAAGTGTTCTCTGTGACAGTGAGCTCCTCCACGCCTTGGGCAAGCAGCGCAAAGCACAAGCCCGGATCCACCTCAAAGCTGGGGCAAAGGCGGCTTCCTCCAGAGGAGGAGGAGGCAGGGAGAGGGCAGGGAGGGGAAGCAGCCCTGAGGAAGCCAGTCTGGGAGCTGGAAGCACATCGGCACGGCAGCAATGAGAAGCAGAGAGAGGAGGGAGGCAGGCGCCGCACTCACCGGGGGGGCACTGTAACTGGCGTGGGGGTTGTTCTGGATTTCCCACAGCCCCTCGTTGAAGCCTTTCCTCTTGTTTGGTTTCCCATATTTGTCTTTGTATTTCTCATAAGGGAAGAGATCTTTAGGGCCCAAGAAGGCGCTGGAGAGAAACAAAGCAGAGGTGAGGCCGGGGCGGCAGCGGGGGCGCAGCCGGAGCGGGGAGCGAGGAGCGCTTACGTCTCGTGGGTGCCGAAGAAGAAGATGGGGTACTTGTTCGGGGGGGGTTTCACGGCGCCGTCCGCGATGTCATCGATCTGAAAGGAAACCCAAAGCAGGGGGTGGTCAGAGCACGTCCCCTCGCAGGCAAGCACGGACACGCGGGATCTCTACAAGAGTAACAGAAGGGATGCTCGAGGTCGTCGCTCAGCGCCCAGGGAAGCCTTGTGCTACTCCCCAGGGATCCATCACCCAAGGGAGGCCCCCTCCGGCTCCAGAGGGTCCTTCCTGGCTGGAGAGCGGCTGCAGGAGAGGCCCCGGGGCCGCCCCCGTCTTCATCCGCTCCGCCCGGTCGGGAGCCTCGGGGTGCTGGGGAGGTCTTCAGGGGGGAGCCACCCCCAGCGGAGCAAGCAGCTAAAGCAGGAGGGGCCGCAGCGTGGAGGGACCGAGTCCTCTCGGCCCCAGAGCACGGGCACGGCGGGGATGCGGGGATGGAATCCCAGTCACGGCGCGGTGCAGCCAAGCAGCGTTGTCTCCAGCACCCTGGGCCTCCCTGGTACCGGCCAGCGTCGTCCCATGGGACACCTTCAGCGCATGAACCTGCCTCAGCAGGCACCGCCACGGACCCCATCCGAGCACATCCTGCCCGGCTCCATCGCATCTCCTCCAGGCACCACAACGCTGTCACCCGGTCACACGCGCTCCATCACCCCCAAACCGCTTCAGCACCCGTGTGCGTGCCCCCATCCCTGACAAGGGACAGAGCCCCAGACCCCTGCTCTGTGCCCCCCACAGACAGAGGGTGGGTGATGTCCAGGCAGGGAGCTGGGAAGGGGCAGTGAGAGGATGAGGATGGAGGGTGAAGGGAAGGGATGTGAGGGACACCCCTATGGGGCTCGGGTGCTGGAGCACCAGGAGAGGAGGGGTCTTTGGGCCCTCCCCAGCAGCAGGGGCACAGGGGGTGAACCAGGGCTGAGGTCCCGCACGGTCACCCCAAAGGGGTCAGGGTGGAACGGGAGGGCTCGGGGCTGTCAAACAGCTCCTGGGCCCGGGGCCCCCAGGCCGCCCCCCCATCACACAGGCACCAGTGTGGGACCCCCAGCCCGGCGCTGGCCCCCTCCCTGCACAGGGGCTTCTCCATCCTGGTACCCCCCATCCTGCGCGGGTGCTGGGCTGGGAACCCGCATCCATCCTGGTGCCCGGCCCCATCCCAGCAGCGCCAGCGCTGAGCCCTCATTCCAGCACACAGAACGGGGTCCCCCATTCCGGTCAGCACACCCCATCCTCACACCGGGCCCGATCCCAGTGCGGGTGCTGGGGCAGGCCCGCACCAGGCAGCACCGGGCCCGCAGCCTGATCCCGATGCGGGTCCTCATCCCGCTCCGGGACAGCCCATACCGCATCCCGCGGTGCCCCCTCCCGTCCCGGTACGGGATACTCGGGCCCAGCACCACGCCCTCCTCCGGGCCCAGCCCCGCTATGGGACGTCCGCTCCGTCCGGCCCCTCCCGCCGCTGCCGAGCCCAAACCGGGGCCGCGCGTCCCGGCCCCATCCCGGCACAGGTCCCGTTACGGCACCGCCACTGCGGGGCGGGCCCTAATGGCTGCCCGGCCGGTGCCGGTGCGCCCTGCGCGGCGCCGCGGGCTCACCCGTGCCGGCCAGTGCGGGTACCCCTTCATCTTGGCGAACACCAGGTCCCCGGCCTTGAAGCTGTGCGGCATGGCGGCCGCGGGCGGCGCAGGCCGCGGGCACCACCGGGCAGCGGCGCGGCGGCGGCGGCCCGGCCCGCAGGATGTCCCGCCCCCGCCCGCGGCGCCAGCTCCCATTGGCTCTACGCCGCGCCGCTCAGTGCTCTGATCCAATAGGAGCGAGGAGAAGGCACGGCGGGATAACGGGATTGGGCCGCGCCGCTAGAGGCGCCGAGGAGAGGGGGCGCTGAGGGGCGTGGCCAGAGGGGGCTGGGGGGGGCGATGGTGTGGGGTGGGGACAGGGCGGGAGGTGTGGGGCAGGATATAGGGGGTGGGTCAGGGCTATAGGCTATGGGATAGGGCTATAGGCTATGGAATAGGGCTGCAGGCTATAAGATAGGGCTATAGGCTATGGGATAGGGCTATAGGCTGTAGGATAGGGCCATAGGCTGTGGGATAGGGCTATAGGCTATGGGATAGGGCTATAGGCTATGGGATAGAGCTATAAGCTATGGGATAGGGCTATGGGCTATGAAATAGGGCTATAGGCTATGGGATAGGGCTATAGGTTATGGGCCAGGGCTATAGGAAGAGGGTCAGGGCTATGGGGTGTAGGTGAGGCTACAGGTTATGGGCCAGAGCTATAGGGAGGGGATCAGGGCTATAGGCTATGAACTACGACTATAGGTTATGGGCCAGGGCTATAGAGTGTAAGTCAAGCAATAGATTATGAGCCAGGGCTATAGGCTATGAGCTAGGGCCATAGGTGTGAGTCAGGCCACAGGTTATGGGCCAGTGGTATAGGCTGTGGATCAAGCTATAGATATGAGCCAGGGCCATAGGGAAGGGCCAGGGCTACAGCGTGAGGGTCAGGACCATAAACTATGGGTAAGGCTATCGGTTATGGGTCAGGGCTGGAGGATGAAGGCCAGGGCTATATGTTATTAACTAGGGCTACAGGGTGCGGGTCAGGCTGTAGGTTATGGGTCATGCTATAGGCTATGGGTCATGCTATAGGCTATGGGTCAGGCTATAGGCTATGGGTCAGTCTGCCCAGGAGCTCGATTCCCAAACCCGGTTTCAGTGGGACCCGGTTCCTCTGCGCCTGCTTTGGGCGCAGATCCCGGCTGGAGCCGGGCGGGCCCCAACACCAACCCGCGGCCGGGACGAAGCCTCCGCAGGGGGACTGCGGCCCCGAGGGGCAGCGGGCGGTGATGGGCAGGCGGCGCCAGAAGAGGACGTTCCTTTAAGGTCCCTTCCAACCCAACCCATCCCATGGCTCCACGCCATATCCCAGGCTGTGCCATGTCCATATCCCTATCCCTATCCATTTGCACCCTATGGTGTCCACCGGTACCGGCCCCGGGGTCCCCGCCCGCTCCCTCGGCCCCGGAGGACCGCGGGGATCATAGAGCAGCGGCAGCGCAGAGCGGTGCCGGGGACACGCCCCTTCCGCTGCCAGTGACGCGGGTGGGCGGGGCGGCACCGGTCGGTGTCCGGGTCCCATCCGGTTCCAGTCCCGGTCCCAATCCCGGCCCCGCCATGCGCAAGTTCTTCCAGGAGATCAAGGCCGACCTCAAGTTCAAGACCGCGGGGCCCGGGCAGAAGCTGTCGGAGCCGTCCCGGTACGGGGTAGGGCAGCGGGGACCCTCCGGTAACGGCGGCGGGGGAGGGGGGGTCCCGGTCCGTGGGGAGCCCGGATCCGGTCGCTCTGACCCGAGCCCTCGCTCCTGCGCAGGGCCCCCAGGGAGAGCCCGAAGGCGGCGGCGGCCCCGAGGCCCCGGCAGGGCCCCACGGATGAGGCGCAGATGGCGGCGGCGGCGGCGCTGGCCCGCATGGAGGGGAGGCCCAAGGCCAAGCCGGCCTCGTCGCAGGAGGCCATCAGGAGCCAGGGTAGGGCCGGCTGCGGGTGCTGGGACACGGGAACGGGGCGCCCGGCGCTGCCCGTGCCCGCTGTAACCGGGGCTCCTCTCTTGCAGTGAGGAAGGAGCTGAGAGCGGAGGCGGCCGCCGCAGAGAGAGGCCCCGATGCAGAGGACGGGGTGAGAGCCGCCGCTTCCCCAGCATGGGTTGGGCTGGGGTCATGGCTCCGGCCAGCGCCCAGCTCCGAGCCTGCCGCGGGCCCGGGCGCCTCCGAGCCCCTGTGTCCGCCCTGGAGCCCCCGCTCCTCCTGTGCCGAGCCCTCCCTGTGCTCACCCGGGCCCCGCTTTGCCTCCTTTAGGACGCGGGCTCCCCCGCGGAGGACGGGGCCGCTGCTCTCTCCGTGTCCGGGGTCTACTTCACCTGCCCCCTGACCGGGGAGCGTGTGCGGAGGGAGCGGAAGGAGCAGCACCTCAGGGAAGCCATCCAGGCCGTAAGTGCTTCATTCCCGGCCTTGCCTTGCTCCCGCTCCGCTCCGTGGCACGGGTTCCCTCTCCAACCCCCCACCTTCTCCATGCGCCGCCCGCAGGAGCCACCCGAATTCCCGTCCCAGCCCCTCCCTCGGCATTGCTGGGGCTGGGGATTCCAGCCCGGTTTACTGGTTTGGGCTGGGATGGAGTTCATGGTCCTAATAGCAGCTCTGCTGTCGCTTGGGTTTGTGCCTGAGTCTTGATGACACACTGGAAGTGGCCAGAGGGTAGAGGAGGGAGTAAGTCCCTTTGCTTCATGCTTTACCTATTAAACATCTTCAGCCCAGCCCTCACTTGGGTTGGTTTTGCCCCACTTTGACCCTGTTGCTCCTCTCTGCCATCCCAGCATGGGCAGAACCAGCTGGTTTCTGACCAGCTTCCCTCCTTCTCTCCCAGTATTCCTCCGTGGATCCAGTGGCTGCTTCCATCATGGAGATTCACACCTTCAATAAGGACCGGGAGAGAGTGCGCGTGGGGCTGGAGACCATGGCCAAGTACGTGGGGCTGGTGGTCAAGGGGCACCCAGGGGCCTTGGCAAGTCATTCTCTTGCTGTGCTCCAGGGCAGAGTCTGTGGGACACCAAATCCCAAGGCTCAAACCAGCTTCAGTGTCAGCGGGAGTAAGGGCAGCATCTCCAGGAGGGTTTAATGGTCAATGCACTCATCCAGCTTTGGGAGCTGCTGGTTGGGATCCGGCTTCTGCCTGCCTTGGGGAGGAAAAGAGCCTGCTTTCCTGTGCTTTTCAGTGAGGAATACTGAATCACTTGCTGCACGGTGGAGGAGCACATCCTGCTCTGACCCGGGCCATGCATTCCTCTCTCTGCAGGTATCTGGATAACATCTGCCTCCATCCCTCTCTCTGCAGGTACCTGGATAACATCTGCCTCCATCCCTCTCTCTGCAGGTACCTGGATAACATCTGCCTCCATCCGGAGGAGGAGAAGTACCGGAAGATCAAACTGCAGAACAAAGTGTTTCAGGTGAGGTGCAGGCTCCCTTGCACTGCGCCCAGGAAAGGCCTTGCCTGGAGCAGGATACATCCAACTTCGTGCCTTTCCTTCCAGGAACGGATAAGCTGCTTGGAAGGGATACACGGGTTTTTCCAGGCTGTTGGGTTTGAGACAAGAACACTGCCTATTCCAGGACAAGGCAAGGCATGGGAGCGTTAGACTGGAAGTGGGGGTGTGTGTGGATGGGGGACATCCTGGGGGAGGCTGCAGTGGGAACATCCCATTCCCTGGAGAGCCCGGAATCCCATCCATTGCTTGGTAGAGAGCCTCAGCTCCTGGCCTTGTCTTGCAGAGGGCACCGAGGAGTACTACGTGCTGCGGGAGGAGGCGCTGGCCCGGCTCCAGGAGCTCCGGCACCACAAGGAGCAGCTGCTGAGCTCGGAGCCTGTGCGGGCGCGCTTGGACCGGCAGCGCCGCCTGTTCCAGCCGTCCCCTGCCGCCGCCCGCTTCCAGCTGCCCCCCGACTTCTACAGCCTCAGCGCCGAGGAGCTCCGGCGCGAGCAGCGGCTCCGGTGCGTCCCTGCCGGGGGGGGGGCTCGGGCCGCCAGCCCCCGGCCTCCTCCTCACCTCGCCTTCCCCTAAAGGACAGAAGCGGTGGAGAAGGCTTCGATGCTGAGGACGAAAGCAATGAGGGAGAAGGAAGAGCAAAGGGAAATGCGGAAGTACAACTACACCCTGCTCCGGGTCCGCTTCCCCGATGGGTATCTCCTCCAAGGTAAAAGCCTTCCTAGCCTTTAGAAGCTTCTGAGAGCCCTTGTAGCCACAGAGCTTGCCCATTAAGCACCTGGAGGTGTGCTGAGCAAAGCGCAAGCAATAAAGAGCCCAGAGTGGGGTAAGGCTTCTCTGACTCCTCATCTCCGAGCCCTTTGCCTGGCCAGGCTTGAGTGGAGAGGGAAGAATCCCAAGGCCCTGTTAATTAAACCCTGCTCTTCCCAGGCTGCCAGGAGCAAGCTGCACTCGTTAGATGAGGTTGTTAGAGCAGCCAGCATGAGGCTGCCTGTGCTATACAACACGATGAAATCCGCTTCAAGTCTTGCAGCACAACTCTGGGAAGCATTTCAGGCTTTCCCAGCTCTTTGTTAGAGGCTGGCAGGGGCTTGGGACGAATGAAAGCAGATTTTGGCTTTGGGGATTGTGCTTTTCTGCTTTGCAGTCAAATTGGGCTGTTTCTGTGGCACTGAAGTGGTTCGTGAAGTGAGGATGAGTGCGGGAGCCCCACGGAACCTACCACAAAAGGTTAGGTTGGGGAATGCCAGACTCACTCTCAAGATCTCCCCTTGTTTGCTCATGGCAGGGACGTTTTATGCACGAGAACCAGTCTCTGCGCTCTACGCCTTTGTGAGAGAAGCACTCCGAGATGACTGGCTGCCCTTTGAGCTCCTGGGACCTGGAGGTCTCAAACTCACAGATGAGAACTTGGCTTTCAATGAGTGTGGGCTGGTGAGTGCAAAAGAGCTGGTACCCGCCAGGGGGGCCCTCAGGCTGTCAGGGTCACCACTGCTTGTAACAGAGAGGGGTTTGTGTCTGCTGCTTCCAGTGCCCCCAGTACTGCTCTGGCCCCTTCTCTTGAAGCACTGATTGAAGGGTTCTGGCCCAAGGCAGGGCTCTGGAAGGAGGTACCTGACAGGGGGGTGTAGTGAGGTGGGCTCAGTCCCTTCTCCCAAGGAACAAGAGGAACCGGCCTCAGGCTGCACCAGGGCAGGTTTAGATGGAGCTGAGGAACAGTTCCTGCCCCAGAGGGTGCTCAGGCATTGGAACAGGCTGCCCAGGGCAGGGCTGCAGGCACCGTCCCTGCAAGGGGTCACACACTGTATAGACGAGGCCTCAGTGCATGGGGCAGTGGTGGCCTTGGCAGTGCTGGGGAGCAGTTGGACTGGATGCTCTTCTTTTCCAACCTGGGTGGCTATGAACTGCAGTGACCTGCCTCCATGGCAAACACAGGCTGGGCCGTGGGCAGCAGCTCGAGCACCAGCCCATCAGCATCCCCTAGAAAGAGCTCCTCATAGCACCCCACACGTGTCGCTCTTCCCAAGGCATGCACATACCCCGGGTTCTGAGGTCCCAGCATCCCCCTGCTCCAGCTCTGCCTTTCCTGTGCAGGTACCCTCAGCCCTGCTGACCCTGGCCTGGGACGCAGCGGTCATGGAGGACATCCGGGCAGCGGGAGAGGAGCAGCCACGAAGCCCCCTGAAAGCAGAGCTGCTCGCCAGAGTCCAGGCACTGCCATGAAATAAAGGGCACTGGAGGCAGGGCCGGGCCTTTCAGACTCTTCCCTCCTTTTCCCATGCGGGCTGGGCTCAGCAATGGCTTGGGGTTGAGCTCTGTGCAGCAGGAGCCTGGGCTCGGCCGTGTCACACCAACCTCATGGTCCCCTCCACGCACTGAGTCCTGCCCTGTAGGGCTCTTCTGGGACTGCTCTGAAGGGCTTTAAGAGCCCCGTTTAGCAGGGACTGCTCGAGGTGTTTCCAAGCCCAAGCTGAAGAGCCTCTCTCCTCCCTTGTAGTCAGGGACTCAGCGCTAGTACTCGGCTGGATTCCCACTTGAGTGAGCCTGGATCTAGGGCTGGGCTTTTCCTTTTGCTTCTGTGTGCACTGGAACTCCTATTGGAGAGAACATACGTAGATGCAGGGATGCATAGTCCGGTCAGTGGAATGGTTAAAGACTCAGTTCTGTTCAAAGCTGCTGGAATTGCATTGCTCTGTAGGTTTGAAATGCAGGGGCTGGCACTGGTGTTACTGGTGTCGCTGTGGCATCACCCACCTCTTCGCTCCATGCACCCACAGCCAGCCCAAGGGACTGACAGATGAGAGATGATGCCTCAAACTGCAGCCAGGGGTCTAGGGAACTAACCCATCACCTCACAAGCCATAGAAGGTAGAACTCCAAGCAAGTCTGATGCTAGCTCAGTCTTTTGTATGGCAGCCGTGATGGCTTTGCACTTACAGCCTCTGCTGCAGCAGTGGGTCCAGGAGACCAACAATCAACCCTGACCAGCAATCAGCACCAGCTGAAACGGAGGGGACACAAGGTGTGGTTTCTTCTCTTTCCCCAAGGTAAAGCCCTGCTGCTCTGCTCTGGAGCAAGGAAGACCACAAACAGGAGGCTAGAGATAGCATAAATTCACATATAATTGTACATCATTTATACCCAAGGCCATGCTATACAACATTATGAACAATCATTCCCCCAGTGGCATCACAAGCTTATTCCAGAAGCCCTCTGCTAGGTTTAGAGATAATTTAGATACCTTCCATTACAAAGAAGTATCAAAATGTCAATAATGCTTTATTAAGGACAGAGTAAAATGCAGGATTTTCTTCTTTTAACCTAAAAACTAGGACTAAAACCATAAGCTTCCATCGGGGCTGAAGCAGAACAAAGTGCTGTCTTCTCTTTACAAGAAATATGGAACACTTTCAAGTATCTCCTTCAAAGATACTCTGGGTGTAAGGTTCTCTAACTCATTCTACACACATCCAGAAGTTAGTAGGTGGTTAAGGCTCAAACTGTATTGGATGGGCTGAGCATGCTGGTGTCCTGGGGAGCAGCTCCTGCGCCACTCGAGTCCAAAGCTGCCACTGTAGAATCTGCAAAGGAGAAAATGGGTTGGTTTGGGGTGCTTTGGTTGGGGGGTTTACCTGTGCTCCTGAATGGAGTGGGGTTGGGCTGCTCGCTGCTCGCTGTCTTCCCTTGCGAGTCCCCTTTCAATGCTGTTTAAAACCTGGGTTTAATACTGGGTTAACACCGATCCGGAATAAAACCACTTCAACCCTAAACCGAGATCCTCCTCATCTTTGCAGTGCTTTAGGCTCAGGCAGAGGCAAACAAAGGCAGTTGCTTGTGTGTCAACAGAGCCTGAGGCAGGGAAGCTGCTGAACAGCAGCCCCATCCCCAGGACAAGGCTTTCATCTCCTCCAGTCTCGTAATAAGCAAAAAGCAGCTTAAGATTAAATGGAAAGCTTCTTGTCAAGCACTTCCATTGTGTGCTTGGGAAGGGGAGGAGGAACGCGGCACCAGATATGTCTAGAACGGGTCAAGCATTCAGCTTTAGGATGCAGGGCTTCAGGAATATGCACAAGCTCGTCCCTATGAGCTCGAGGAGCTGCCCTCCACAAAACCCCACTTAATTCAGGTTGTGGCAGTGGCATTGTGAAAGCTCTATTGTAAGGAAGGGCTGGGAGGGTTTGGAAGTGGTTTAGAGGAGCTGAATGCACATCATGTGCTTGGCATTAGGTTAGTGATGTGCATGAGCAAGTATTTATAGTTAAAACCTGGCTGAGATGAAAGGAGCTGCTCCACATCCTCATCCCACTGCAGCCGAATCCGGAGCCTGAAAGGACACGCTATAAACGCTGGAGCTTTGAAAGCCACTTCCTAAGGGATAACTGGGACACAAATACAAGCAACTGCTTTGATTCTAGAGCAGAGCTGCACAGACTTGACCAGAGCCCTCACCTGTCAGCCCACAGCTTGGCCACTGTCCTACAGTGGGTTGGAAGGAAGGGACCTTAAAGCTCCTCCAGCCCCAACTCCTGCCAGGGCAGGGACCCCTTCCACTGGAGCAGCTTGCTCCAAGCCCCTGTGTCCAACCTGGCCTTGAGCACTGCCAGGGATGGGGCAGCCACAGCTTCTCTGGGCACCCTGTGCCAGCGCCTCAGCACCCTCACAGGGAAGAGCTTCTGCCTCAGAGCTCAGCTCAGTCTCCCCTCGGGCAGGTTCAAGCCATTCCCCTTGGCCTGTCCCTACAGGCCCTTGTCCCAAGCCCCTCTCCAGGTTCCCTGCAGCCCCTTTAGGCACTGGAGCTGCTCTCAGGTCTCCCCTTCAGGAGCCTTCTCTTCTCCAGGCTGATCCATCCCAGCTCTCTCAGCCTGGCTCCAGAGCAGAGCTGCTCCAGCCCTTTCAGACAGCTCAGCCTCCACCTATGGCTTCAAGAAGGCAGCAGGGGGGTTACAATGCAGGCCCTGTCAGGGCTCTGGCCTGTGCATACCCCAGGGAGCTGCCCTGCTCAGCAGCACTGACCAACAGCTCCTGGACCTGCTGAGCCTACCTCAACATTCCCAGTCCTTACCAGAAAAGCAGCAGAAACCAAAGGTAACACTGGCAGCCAATGCTATTTGCACTGTTTAATCAAGGGGAGGGAGGAGGAAGAAGAGGGAAGAGCACATTAAAGACTGTAAATAGCAAAGCAGCATCTAGAATAAACCATGAAAAGCACAGAAGTACCTAGAATAAAATACCCCGAGAGGAGAGCACGAGGCCTGCGGAGAAAGGGGCACAAGAGCTCAAGAGGTTCAGCCCCACACCCCATCCTCTCCCTCGTGGGACAGCCAAGAGGCTGCTATCGCTTTCCTTCCCCACCTTTGCCTGGCTGTATATCCACAATAATGCAGTCATCCTCCTCCTCATCTTCCTCAGTGTCTGCCTGAAATCCATCCATCTCTGCAGCTTCAGCCTGAAGGGAAACAGAGGAGCCTTTAACAGCGAGCTGAGGGTGCTGGGGCAGTGCTGCTGAGGCAGCAGTGGGTGCTCCCCACCGCTGGGGCTCCCAGCACCCTCGGACCAGCTGGGAGGGAAGAGAGAGCAGAGTCCCAGCTCCAACAGGCCGGGATTTGGGATACCAGGCCCCATGTGCAGTGGCTCAGGGAGCAGGAAGCACGCCAAGCTGCTGCTCCAGGAGCTTTCACCCTTGCACAACGCGCTCCACAGCCCCCACAGCAAAACAGAGCTCAAACCTGGGCTGAACCTGACTGGGATCTGTTGCTTTGGAAGGGGAATCCAGGATCTGGTCCCCACCACCCCCTCCAAGCTGTTCCAGGAGAAGCAACTTCAGATTTGCATCTCCCATTAAAGCCACAGCTCTCAGATGAAGCCGTTCCCCTCCCACACGGGTGCGGGTGCTGCCCACTTCCAGACCCAGGCCTCCCCTCCCCACAGCTGATGTTAAAGCTCCTTTACCCACATGAGAACAGCACGTGCTGGGGGGAGAACCTGGCAGCCCTGACTCCCCCCCGTTCCTGCCACACTCAGCAGGAAGGATGGGATCCAGGACCTCCCTTTAGAGGCCCTAAGGCATGAAGGGCTTTGGGGTCTCTGCACCCCGCAGGCACAGGGTGCTCTGGGGAGCTGGTGATGGGATTCTGCTAAAAGCCTGTCTTCGGCTCTTCCTGCTCCAGCACCCGCTCCTCAGCAGTTTCCAGTGGGTGCCAAGCAGGGATTTTTCTCTCTGCCTTTATTTAGTGGCTGAGTTAAAAACCCAAGCAGATGGAGCTCGGGGGCTGAGCAGCTTCGCGCAAGCCTCTGATCCCCATCACTGCTTGCATGCGGAGCGGCTTCAGAAGACAAGCCAGGAATAAAGGGGGAAGGAAAAGCATCAGAAGCCTTGTCTGGGGCTTCTTTCCTAACCCCCTTGTCCACAGAGGATGAGGGATAAACCCCCCAGCAGTTCAAGCCCTGCCCTGCTCATAGGTTCGGAAGCAGATGGTTGGTAACATCAAACTTCAGGACCTATATATAAGATCTTCACGTCTGAAATACACAGTGAAACATCACCCAACACACACTCTTGAGTCATCATGTGGGGTGATTAAGCTGTTCATAGTACCCGTGGTTACCCTGAAAAGCAGAAGCCAACAACAGGAAGACCACAACAAAGCTTAGAGCTGGAGTAGCAACTCCTTCAAATCCATCTCGTTTTGTTCCTATGAATGAGGATGCTTTTAAAGCAGCTCTTGAAATTCAGCTTTATGGATGACAGGATAAGCTGGAGACTTTGCAGACTTATTATAGGTTGAGTTGCAGCACTTAGGAACCACACTGAATCAGTGCACATGCAAGTGATGTCAGTCCCCAGCTCGGGCTAAGCATCTGGCAGCCATACACACCATAAAAACCTGCATACAAATCACACACAGCTGTAAAACCAAGGCCAAGCAGAAACTATTCACAGCTTGGATGCAAATCACTGCCAAAGAGCAGAGAATGGAAGAACAGCAGGAAAGCAACATTCTTCAACAGAACACACAGGCCAAGCTGGAGGGGCACAGAGGAAACCCATCTCTTCAGTCACATCAGTTCACTCCTTTCCCCACAGAAAAAGGGGGGGGGTTGTGTGAAGGAAAGTGTCTGTAGCCTTATATTTGGGCTCTGCTCATCTGGACCAAGTCTGGGGTGCGCCAGCGGATGTGCACAGCTCCATCCCCACTGTGCTGCCCTGGGGAAGAGCACCCCGACAGGAGCTCACCTGCTCAGCATCCCGAGGTCTCTT